GTAAATGAGTACAAAGAAAGAATGCAGCACTACTGAACTAATTCCTTCTACTCATTTAAGACAGGAATAAAGAAAACAATACACAGCAATCTTTGTGGTTTTGTTGGGGTTGGGGGTGAGAAATACTATAGAAAAGTTACACTTAAAAATAGCCGGGCAGGGGCTGGGGATTTAGCTCAGTGGCACAGCGCCTGCCTAGCAAGCGCAAGGTTGTGAGTTTGATTCCCGGTACTGGAAAAAAAAACAAAAAAAAAACCACCCCCAAACAAAACAAACAAACAAACAAACAAAAAATAGCCAGGCATGGTGGTACGTACTTGTAATTGCAGCATCCTGGGAGGCTAAGGCAAGAGGATTGTAGATTTTTGTTGTTGTTTTGTTTCTTTTTGGTACCAGCAATTGAACTCAGGACCTTGTGCTTGCCAAGCAGGCATTTATACCACTGAGGTATATATCCCCAAGCTGAGGATTGTAGATTTGAGCCCAGTCTGGGCAACTCAGCAAGACCCTGAGACTTTTGTTTGTTTTGGATGGTACAGGGGGTTGAACCCAGGGCCTCTTGCATACTAGGTAAGTGCTCTACTGATGAGCTACAGCCCCAGCCCAAGTTTTTGGTTGGTATGGTATTAGGGATGCCTGACCAGCAAAGTCTATACAAATATCTGAAATTCGAAACATTGCTGGTCCCAAGCATTTCAGGTAAGGGATAAATAAATCAATTAATTAACCCCCCCCTTTTTGTTTTCTGAGAGCAGCCCTCACTATTAGTCCAAACTGACCTTGAACTTTTGGTCTTTCTGCCTCAGCCTCCCAAGTGCTGGGATTATAGGTGTGAGCCACCAAGTCCCACCTGTCCCAATATATTTAATCTAGCACTTTCATATGTGATCTTTAGGATTCACTTATGAGAGTAAAAAGAATCTTGTTTGAAGTATGTAGGTATCATAACCACTGAATAGTTTGCTTATCTATGTATACATATAAATGGTACTAGGGCTGGGGATTTAGCTCAGCGGCACAGCGCCTGCCTGGCAAGCGCGAGGTCGTGAATTTGATTCCCGGTACCAGAAAAAGAAACCAAAAACCAAAAACATATAAATGGCACTATAAATTAGGTCCAGGGCTAGGGCATGCTACGTATGTGCTCTAGCACTGAACTGGGCCTCCAGCCCCAAGAGTTCCTTCTGTTTTTTGTTTTGTTTATGCTTTTCTTTGGAGATAGAGTCTCTGTTATTCAAGTTGGCGTTGAACTCACTAGTCCAGGGTGGCCTTGAACTTATGGCGACCCTCCTGCCCCAGGCTCCTGAGTGCTGCGATTACAGGTGTGTGCGATTATGCCCAGCCCCACACTGTCCCATTTTTAAGAATTTAAACATTGTTAAATACACTATAAGAATCTGTATGAATCTGTACTGCTGCCTTTCCAAGGATACCACCAAGAAAGACCAATGAGGTTGAAACAGGACTTCCTACCAGAAAGAAAAGAACATTTCATCATATATTTCTATATAATACAATTCTTCAGATGTGATTTGGTCTTTTCAAAATAGTTAAGAACCTCCAGTGTACAGCTGTAGTTCTAGCTACTTAGGGGGCTGAGGCAGAAGGATTCCAAGTTCAAAGTCAGCTTGGGACACTGCAAGATCGTGTCTCAAAGTAAAATGAAAAGGGCTAGGGATGTAGTTTAATGCTCCCTGGTGCTGAAAACATGAAACAAAACATGAAATGGTCCAGATCCAAGAAGCAAGCAACAGATGCCACTAAGAACAAAAGCGGCGCTGGCGTCATGGAAGGGAGCACACGTCCTTCGTGTACTGTCCCGAGGGCTCACTGCTGGACTCCGGGCCTCACGTAAGTGCTGCACAGCGGAGCCACACCCCAGCCCCTAAGCTGCTGGTTCTTAAGGCTGGAGCTAAATAACTTGGGTAGGAACTTTTATTGAATAGATCACGAGTCATTCTGATGTACAACCAGAATAGAGAACCACTGTGCTAATACGAGGTGTGATTGAAATACAAGGCAAGGGGCTGGGGATACAGCTCAGTGGCACAGGGCCTGCCTGGTGAGCACAAAGTCCTGAGTTTGATTCCCAGTACTGCTCCCCCCCAAAAATTGAAAATATATATATACATACAGTAAATGCTTAAATTTTTTTATTTTTAATTGTTTTTGTAGTCATGTTTGCCATACATAATGATTATACTGATTGTGGGGAGCTGGTACATGCACATAACATGTCTTAATTATTTATCCTCCTCTCCCCATGTTTAAATTTTTAAAAATTTATTGGGGCTGGGGATTTAGCTCAGCGGCAAAAGCGCCTGCCTGGCAGGTGCAAGGTCGTGAGTTCGGTTCCCGGTACCGGAGAAAAACCCAAAAAAAAAAAAATTTATTAAAGTAAGAGACACATTGCCAGTAATCTTCCTCAAAATACCCACCGCCCCCACACTTTGAACACTCCTATCCCGTTGTTCCTGCCACTGTCGAAGCCGTTCTGGAATCCTCTGGAGCAGTGAACGCTGCTGCTGAGCACCGTCCCTCCGGAAGGCGGCTACGGGGTCCTCAACTACCACAGCTGGCACCGGGACTCCCAGCTCTTCCCCAAAGCCAGTGACCGCGCACAGCAAATGCTGCGCATGGCTTCAGGACACCGAGGGAGTCACGAGGGCACAGCCACGATGCTCCCGAGGCAGGACTTCCAGAACCAGTTCAGGAAGTGGCAGGAATGATGGGACGCAGTGCATTCCAAGCAAGCGGGAGCACTTTGAGAGGGGTTAACGGCAATAAGTTACCTATTACAATAACTTTTTAAAAAATGTAAGCATTCATTGTATTTTTGGATCATACCCCATTCTTTTAAGGAAAGGTGGTATCATACTCAATGTAGGACTTAAGAAACAAAGAGTTTATCATGATCTATAAATATTTTCAGTAAAACTTGTTTTTTGTTTTTTTTTTGGATAGGATCTCACTATGCAGTGCAGCCTGGCTTGAACTTGCTTATGTGGCCCAGGCTGGCCTCTAATTCATGGCAATCCTCCTGCCTCAGCCTCCTGAGTGCTGGGATTCCAGGTGTGAACCCAGCTAGTAAAACTTGCTGAAAAGTTTGGGACTGAGTAACAAGGATTATTCGCTTTGGCAGGTGTTAGCTCCAAAGGGGAGGAAAGGGATTAGGTGACATAGCAGCATTACAGGATAATTTCTATTAAACCATACAAATATTATGATGAAGAATGGAGACTACAGAAACTAAAGGAAGTTAGTTACATGAAGGAAGACATCTCATTACTTATTACAGTGGAATTACTTTAAACCGCTTTCTACATAGTAGAATCCTAAACATTTTTACCCTCATACTCACCTTTCTGAAAAATCAGATTCTATAAATTCTCTAGCCCGTTTTCTATCACTAAAAAGACAAAAAGATAGCATAAACATAACACATAAACATAACTGCATTGCACGAATAACTTATAATAACTTGTCTAATTCTAATTGAATATATCAAGAGACAAAAACAAATACAAAAGGTAGGCACATAATATAAAGACTTTATTTTATTTTTGAGACAGGGTCTTACTACGCAGTTCAGGCTGGCCTTGAGCTCACTTTGTAGCCCAGGCTTGTCTTGAACTCAAAATGATCCTCCTGCCTCAGCCCGCCGAGTGCTGGGATTACAGGCATGCGCCACCATGCCTGGCAAAGACTTCATTTTGTCATGGGACAAGACATGACAACTCATTAATCATTAAACTGGAGAGAGCTCAGTGATTGTTTAGGGATGATAACATTTCAGTTTTACAAATGAGGCTCTGCGGACCTCTTCTGTGGGTATCTGAGCATGCAAGCATGTGTATGCATGTGGATTAAAGCCCTTGGTCAGGACTGGTATTTCATTAATTCACTTATTCTTGAAGCGAGGAGATTCTTATTGAACCAAAATTTAGCATTTGCTAAAACACACGCCGCATACACAACGGGGTGCCCAGTGCAGTGGGTCACCATGTAAATAACTAAATAACTTCTAAAGTGACAAAGGAGCTCTTGAGTTATTTATTGTAACATTTTTCTTTTTACAGGACGGGTTGCTAAAATGATAAGGAACGGGAAAAGGCCGGCAAGGGTATTTTACAGACAAAGATGAAACACTCGGTACGGCAGTAAGGTAGCACGTGAGTACACAGAAGGGATGCTGGCTGGCTCGCCAAGCGCTGCGAAAAACCGAGGGAGAAGCTGATGGAAGCTGTAATGCATCTGGCCTCTTTTTTCTTGGTTCTCGTTCTGTTAAGACAGTAAGAGCTGACAGGGAAGTTTTCAGAATAAACAACATTTTTGTAACCCATTTCTTATATGTTAAAACAATATAAATATAGTTTTTCTATTTCCAAAGCAGCTAAAAGTTGTAATTATAAGAAACAGCCCTATTCAGAGTTTTAAAAAGTCCAAGGACTCAGTTACAAGTTACTGTACTATTTTTCTGTGTAAAAGTAGGTGTAGCCAGGCATGGTGGCAAATGCCTGTAATTCCAGCACTCTGGAAGGCTGAGGCAGGAGGAGTCCCAGCTGTAGCCCAGCCTGGGTAACTTAGCAAGACCCTGTGTCAAAGGGCTGGAGACATAGCTCAGTGTGAAGGTCACAGTGGGCAGGTGTTGCATTACAGATAATTTATATCTGAGACAGAAAGTAAAATAGGTGATCTTTTTTTTTTTTTTTGGTTTTTCTCCGGTACCGGGAACCGAACTCACGACCTTGCGCTTGCCAGGCAGGCGCTTTTGCTGCTGAGCTAAATCCCCAGCCCCAAAATAGGTGATCTTAAAGGAAAAACATTAGTTTTTAAGAACTGGGCTGAAATAAAACAGGAAGAAAACAAGACAGCAAATAGGCCAGAACTGTGTTGAAGGTCTTGGAAATGGTGATCTGTAACACTCTTACCTGGGAACCCAGCCAGCAGCTTCTGCGATGTGCGTCTGAGTGACCATCGCGGGTGCAGGAGTGTACGGGCTCCCGATCAGAACACTTCCTGAACTGGTGAGTCTCTGTGGTGTGCTTATAATCTGCAGAGTGAGGAACAAGACGATTTAGGGAGAATTTGTAAGAATTTACCAGGTAACGTTGGTTGTTAACCAACGCATGAGGAAACTTTACTATCCAAAAAGCATTAACTATCAACCATCTAAAATAGAATAAAAAATAATAAAATATAAATAGTACCTTTGATTTACTTATATTCTATGATTTTCTTGATAGGGGCTTGAGTCACAGTCCCACTATGTACCCCAGAGGTTGGCCTCAAACTTTTGATCCTCCTGCCTCAGCCTCTTGAGTACTGGGATTATAATCAAGTGCCACCAGGCAGAGCTCTAATACACTAGGATCATAAGGCACAAATATTTGAATATTGACATGAGGTTACAATGCAGGCACCAACAAGTAACAATCTGGATGCAACTGAACAGCAATTAAGCAGGCAACTAACAATGTCTTAAACCAGAAAAACGAAAAGCTTTGAGATTAAAGAAACAAGCTAGGATTACTCAGCTATAAAGAAAGATAAACTCGAGGCTTTCATAGGTAAATGGTCACAACTGGAGACCATACTCATAAGTGAAATAAATCAGACCTGCATGTGCAAGCACCGCATTGTCTCACTAGTGTAAAACCTGAAAGAGTGAATAAATCTAGGAGGTATGAGAGACATTGAGAAACGAAAGGAAAATGCTCAAGGATAAAGGGCAACTGGGATGGGGGAAAAGAGAAAGGAAAGGAGAAACTTTGTACGTACGTATATACAGGACAGCTAACATAGTTGAACGACTGTCTTCTATTTCTTTGTCTGTCTTTGTCTTTCTAAGTGCTGGGATTATACACATGAACCACGAGGCCTCCACACTTCCTGACATCCCCAGCTTCAATGAGACACAGTACTTATAGGCAGAGAAAGCGTCTTACTCACTTACGTCTCTGGTAGGGCTAAGCACAGGGCTGGAACACACTGGAAAAGCACATTTACTGAACTGAGACAGACGACTCAATTTTTAAATTGATGGGTTTTTTTTTTCCTGACACAGTAGAAACAGTTACGCAAAATGTAGTAAGAAAATGTGACGTAAAGGACACAGTTCTCACCAATCCCTGCATCACACTTCAAAACATTCTCTGTAGTGTGGGCTCTGGGCTGGGCAGTTTAGGAAGGAAAATCTGAATACGTGACTAGCGTCTTGTCTATTCCTAAAACAAGATCAGCCACCATGCTACACTAAGCACTCAAACGCACCTTGTACGTATTATTGCTAAGGCGTTGCTTTTCTCCATTACGAGCCGCCAATATTCTTGGTTTTACGTGATTTAAAGGGCTTTGTAGGAAAACGAAAAAGGGGGGATAGGAAACAAACAGAAAAACTGGTTATGCACATCGAGGCTGACTGTCAAAATGAATCGCTTCGTTCTGGCCTACTCCTCGCTCACTGTCAGACTGTCTGCTGACGTTCCTCGTTGATCCAAGAGTGATTATCCACACTCATCCTTTTTCTTAGCATGGTACGCAGTAATTCCTCAGCAAACTAAACAGATGATAGATCTGAACAGGAAACACGAATCCAAAGTGCATGTGAACTCCTGAAGTTAAATAATGACAGCCTTAAGAAACAAAACAAAAACTGGTCAGGCACAGTGGTGGGTGCCTGTAGTCTCAGCTATTCCTGAGAGGCTGCGGCAGGTCACGTGAGCCCAGGAGCTCAAGGCCAGCCTGAGCAACAGAGCAAGACAGTTTCAAAATTCAGTCTTGACTAAATATAGGATTTAGAGGAATATTAGTTTAGAGACATGGTTTATATCTCTAAAATTCCAAATGAATAGGGGAGGTAAAAACATACTTTTCTAACCTTGGGATTTTCTTTCCCACAAAAAAACCTCCAGAAACCCTAATTAAAATGTAAATATCTGGTTCTCTAGACTGCCCACTGTTAGGTTATAAAAATCATAGAGGAGGGCTGGGGATATAGCTCAGTGGCATAAGCGCCTGGCCGGCATGCGCAAGGTCATGAGTTTGATCCCCGCTACCGCAAAAAAAAAAAAAAAAAAAAAAAAAATCAGGGAAGTTGAATGGCAAGCTGAAGATTTTTCTGCTCGCAATCAAAATATTTTATGTACTGCTGCCATCTACAGTTAGAAAAGCCTGGAGCATAAGTATTGTGAAGGTTAAAAAGAAACTGTAAAGTATTATGTTAAAAGATTCAGCTGGGCATGGTGGCACATGACTGTAATCCCAGCACTCAGGAGGCTGAGGCAGGAGGATTGTTTCAAGTTCGAGACCAGCATGGGCTACAAAGTGAGCTCAAGGCCAGCCTGAACTGCATAGTGAGACCCTGTCTCAAAAAGATGAAAAATAAATAAATAAATAAAAGATTGTATTACTTGACAAAACCTTGGATTTAATTGAAAGCAACTAGTTTTTATATTCTGAAATAAGAAAGCCATGACTTTATCTCATATATAAATCATAAAATATTCATCTCTATATGATAATCTATAAGAGCTAAGTACCTCAAATTAAGTTACTGCCAAACTAATTTCTATAACTACTGAAAATGTTTTTCTTGGTGTCTCTGAAATTCCTATCTATCATTAAGATTTGACTTCCAAGAGACGTGAAGTTAAACGAGCAAGTAGAGAAAGAGGACTGGAAGAAGCAGATGAGTGAGATTTTATCCAAGAATTCTCTAACTGAACAAGAATGTTTAGAAAGTGATGAAGAGTCAGGTGCAGTGTTGCACGCCTGTGACCCCAGCACTCCGGGAGCTCTGGACAGGAGGACTGCTGAGTTCCAGGCCAGCCCAGGCTGCACAGCCAGATCGTGTTTCAAAAGATCAAACAAACAAACAGAGACCAGAAAGAAGACAACCAGGAAATGATTCTAACTGGGCTTCTCAGTCTCCTCAGAATGCTACCATGAAATACCTCAGGGTAGGAATTTATGAATAGCATAAATTTACTGCTCACTGTTCCAGGGAATGCGATGTCTGAGGCTGCACATCAGCAGATTCGGTGTTTGGTGAGGGCTCTCCACTTTTTAGAGGCTGTCTTGCTTCGGCATTCGGTCCCCTCTGGGCAAATGGGGCTGGGGTTCCCAGCGATCTCTTTTATAAGGGTCCTCACCTCACCCACCCCTCAGGACTTAATCACTTCCCCTAAGGCCTCACCTTAATTTAGTATCCCACAATAGCATTACACTTCAAACCCTGCCCCTAAATTCAGGTCTGTCTCATATGCAAAATGTATTCATTGCATCCCAATAGCTCTATAAATTTTGTAAAGTGCTATAATCCTAATTTGTCCCAGCAACACAAAGGGTCAGATCACATTCAAATCAGATATGGGTGAGACTCGAAGTGCCATTTGTCCTAGGGCAAATTAACCTGCTGTGAGCCTGTGAATCCAAATGCTTCCAAAGTACAAAGGTGAAGCCGGCGTGGTGGCACAAGCCTGTAATCCCAGCTCTCGGGAGGCTGAGGCAGGGGGATCATTGCGAGTTCGAGACCAGCCCGGGTTACAAACTGAGCTTAAGGCCAGCCTCAACTGCAGAGTAAGACCTTGTCTCAAAAGGAGGGAAAAAAAAGTACAAAGGGGAAACAGAGTGTAGGCATTTTTATTCCAAAAAGAAGAAATTTTTAAAAAGGGGAAAAAAAAGGATACTAGGTCTTGACCAAGCAGAAAACCCTATGGAGGGAATATTAAACCTGGGGCTGGAGAGTCATTTCCGGTGACTTGATGCCCTGCCTTCTGGACACGCTAGGGTAAGGGTGGAGCCGTCAAGGTGCCCGGGGTCCCACCCCCAGGTTTGGCCCGCACTGCAGAGCTATTTGTGAGTCTCATACCTGTGGCTCAAGGGGCCACTGGGAGGAAGCTAGCGAGGGCTCTACAGGGGCCCCCTCTCTGAAGCAGCTCTCTGCTTGGGCCCTGGGGCTTTGAGGAAGAGTCTTGGAAATGCAGCTGGAAGCAGCCCGGGCTCCAGGGCTAGGCAGCCCTGGTGGAGATGGCAGCGTCGCGGACACCCTCTTAAGGACTGACTCCTGAGGCTGCTCCCCACGGGGCCCACCGCAGGAACACATGGAATGAGGGCTGTGGAAACATTTGGCTGGTACAGGCTTTTTTCTTTCAGTACTGGGGATTGAACCCAGGGATTTCTCACCGGGCTTCTTTTGAGATAGGGTCTTGCTATGTCACTAAACTGCCCAGGATGGGCTCAAACTGATGATCTGCCTGCCTCAGCCTCCCAGAGTGCTGGGATTATGTCACCACATGCTGCCGCTGAACAGACTTTGGGCAGTGCCTACCAAGGTCCCCCAAGAGCAGAAGCTCGGGGCTCACAGGAATCTATCAAAAGGTCACCTGGCCCCACCTCCAGGGTCCCTCCAAAAGAGCTTTCCATCCTTTAAAACCTGAGCAGGCTGAGAACTTTCCAAATCTTTAAGTTCTGCTTCCCTTCTAATTATAAATTCCATTTATGATTTTCTCTCTTCTCAGATTTTCTTATAATGTGACATGAAAGAAACAATGCCCCACTCTTAGAACTTTCCTTCAGATTTCTCCCGCCCAGTATGTTATTTCATTGCCCCTAAGCTCTTCCTTCCACAAAACACTAGGGTGTGAACACAGTTTAGCCAAGTCCTGTGCTGCCCTGTAGCAGGGATGCCCTTCCCCGAAGTTTCCAGGAACTCCACCCTGGGTTCACATGGGACCGCGAGGGACAGGCCAAGGACAGAACTGGTCTCCACAGCTCCTTCCCAGTCCTCCTCGGAGCCACCCTTTAAGGTCCACTCATAGAGGCTCTGCTGGCCTCCACTGGGACGAAGTTCCAAGCCATTTCCACACTCCTGGAGTTTGTCCGAGCAGCACCCGCCTCTCAGGCCCAATCTGTCTTTGTCCACTATACCAAAACACTAACAGGTAATCTACAAACAGAAATTTCTTTCTCACAGTCCCGGAGGACGGGAAGTCAAAGGTCCAGGAAGGCACTCTTCCTGTCCTGTGTGCTCGCGGCAGGATGGACAGAAGTGCTCCCCTCAACTTCCTCAGCAAGGGCCCCAACCCGTTCCCAGTGCGGAGCCCTCGGAATTAATCACTTCCCGAAGTCTCAGCCTCCACCTCATCACCGCGATGGGGATCAGGCGTCAACAAGAATGTGAAGGGGTCACTCTCAGATGGGGTTTGTAACAATCAGAACCCCACCTGTGAGCTCAGAACTAAACAAAGCACCCCAGAAGTAGGGACAGATTAAGGCCTTGGGTGGGCCGGTTTAAGGGAGAACCCAAGTCTCCCTCCTCCTGCACCCCTCCAATCTGAGGTTCACAGTAACTCAGTTAGTAGCGTCCATGACTCTGATCACTGCCAGAGTGAACCGTTTAGGGCTTACATACATATTTGTTCAAACTGACAAGGGAAGAAAAGTTATGCTTCCAAAAGAGGAATTTAAATTTGAGTCACAGCATCAACTAAAATACCAATAAAAAAAAGTCTTCTCAAAATAGGAGTACTGTAAAGGCCAGACTCAAAAAAGTCTATGTTTAATTTTAGGGCTTATACAATTATATTTCGAGGCTGGGCATGGTGACACACACCTGTAACCCCAGTACTCAAAAAGGCTGAGGCAGGAGGACTGCCACGAGTTTGAGGTCAGCCTGGGCTACACACATAGCAAGTTCAAGACTAGACTGAACTAGACCCTATCTCAAAAATCCAAAACCAAAACAAACGAAAAAATAGATATTTTTAGATATTTACACATTTATTTATGTATTAAGATAGACTGAAGTCAGGTTGTCTTATCCACTCACACTTTCAGTGGGTGGGCAGGGGCAAATGCTTGGCAAATGTTTGAACATATACCCTGAGCTACCTTGAAATGGGGACATTTGTTTGAGCTTCAGTCTCTGTGAGGTTGGAGCTGGATTACATTCTTCACATACTTACAGTAAATGGTGTTTTATCTTTAGCTTGAATTCCACAGATGATTAACAGTCCTCCACTGACCAAGGAAAATGTCATGTCTAGAATGTCATACAGACTTTCTGAAACCATTAAATTTGCTTGTTCTGAAACCATTACATTTGTTAAAAAAAAATTTTTATCTAAATAACTTTGCATTTAAAACACAGTCCACAATATTGTACATTATAGGCAAAATTCACCCTTATGGCTCTCAAATGAAAAGACATAAACACTGACGCTAAAGAATTATTCTTAAACTGGGCATGGTGGAGCACGCCTACAATCCCAGCACTCAGGAGACTAAGGCAGGAGAAGCACCGTGAATTCAAGGCCAGCCTGAATTGCATAGTAAGATCCTGTCTCAAAAAGACCAAAAAAAAGAAAAAGAATTATTCTTTAAATGTTTAAGCTCTTTTTCGGCGGTGGAAAAGGTTATTTAAATTAGGTACAATCTTACAATAGCTGAATTCAACTTCATTTAGAAGTAAAATTTTCTGTCCTTTTTTCTTTCTTTCTTTTGCCCTACCTCCCTCTGCCTCTCTCCCTCTGTGCCCCCCACCTGTGGCCTTTCATTGAGCTATACACCCAGCCTTTTTTCATCCTGAGATAAGACCTCACTAAATCACTGTATTGCCCAGGCTGAGAGGATGTGCAACCCTCCTGCCTCTGCCTCCCACAGTGCTAGGATTACAGATGTGTCCCCCATGCTGGTTTATAAGTAAGACTTTCTGAAAGTGCCACATACTTCAAGCTCTAGCAGAATTAATGACGGCCGTTAGAGAAACACTTAACTATTCCTTGCACATTATTTCTACTGCTAAAGATGAATTAGTGTATTGTTTTTCCCCAAATGTCCTCCAGTGGAAAGCTTTTCCAGCTAATAGTTCCAGCTACAGAACCAGCTATAGAATTAACTACAGTTCATATATTCAGTTTCTATGAGACTATTTTAGGGAAGAAAAAGTTATAGAAAGAAGAAAAAAGGAAGCCAGGTATGGTGGCACATGCGTGTAATCCTAGCACTCAGGAGGCGAAGGCAGGAGGATTGTGACTTTGAGGCCAGCTGGGCTTTATAAAAGATCCTGTCTCAAAACAACACCCATGCCCGCAAAAGAGAAAAGATATAAAGCATAACAGACTGAGATCAATTTGAACAACTAAAACCAAGAGAAACCTTATATAAGGAGCAAAAATTTTACTCTTAAACCCCAAGAATCCACAGATTCAAGTATGTGAAAATCAAACACTGCCGAGCACAATGTCTTTTTTCTAAGACTTGTATCCATTACCATCAGATAAAACAAAACGTTTTTTAAAGGTGACTATGACAACTGAAATCAACTTGGATACTTGACTAAACAGCTTCAGCATCATTATCCTTTAAATCAGTTGCACCTAAGCACAGTTCCAGTTCTAAGAGTTGATAATTTTCTTACCATTTGGGGTCCAACATTCACATTTATTGGTCCTAAGGTTTTTGGTAAAATCTTTGTTGGTGAGTTGGTGCTGGAAACTGGAAATGCAACAAATGAAATGTTACCTGAAATGATATTAAAACAGTCAGTGTGCTGCAACATAAAGGCCACCTCCTGTGCATGTACACCCAGGGTCCTCCCCGCCTTTGCTAAAAGTAGTTTCCGAGTACTTTAAGCAGCAGATTATAAACTAGAGGACTTACTGAACCCATTCTAACTGCTTTGCTACAGTGAATACGGTTACTTCTGTAGAATAACTAATCTTACTTATAAGAAATACATTAAAAAATAATTCCAGACTATTTCACAATTACTGACTGGACTTACAGAGGATTTGTTAGAGAAAGAACATTTAGAGAATACATAATGCAAATCATAAGTTTATATGAAGAGCTGGGAAATAAGCTTCTTTTTTTTGAGATGGGGTTTTGCTATGTTATGTAGGCTGGCCTCAAATTCACAAATAGCTGGCATTACAGACACGTTAACAACCCCAGCTGGAGAAATTTAATCCGTTTATACAACTAAAACCAAGAGAAGCCATATAAGGCCACAAAAACTTTAATAGGACCCATCAAGAATTCATATGTCATAGAACCAAAAAGAAAAAGTATAACGTGAAAAGAAAGCCCAGGTGTGGTAGTGCATGCCTGTAATCACAGCACTCGGGAGGCTGAGGCAGGAGGATCACTGTGGGCTCAAAGCCAATCTGATCTCAAAGGGAGACTGTCGTCCCTCAAATAAGAAAAAACAAAACAAAACAAAAACCTTCAAATTTATCATGTAAAATATTTATACTAAAAGCTTATATATCTTCAAAATGTCAATCTGACAGGTTTTAAAATTTTATAATATTATGGCAAAAAACAATGCTGATTAGGTGATGCTAAAAGCATGGGTTCTATACAGTCATTTCTATATAATCATTTTATATTCTATACAATCATATTATATTCTATATATATACATTCTATATAATCATTTTCAAATTATTTCAATTTTTTTTTTCTTTCTTCCTATTTTTGTTTTTTGAGTCAGGGTCTTACTGTGTGATTCAGGCTGGCTTTGAACTCACTACGTAGCCCAGGCTGGCCTCCTTGAACTCACAGTGACCCTCTTGCCTCAGCCTCCGGAATACTGGGATTACAGGTGTGCACCACCATACCCAGCTTCTACACTCTTTCAATTTTTTTCTTCCTGTTCCAGTCTCCCATGAATCTGACTTTTTTTTTAATTAACTTTATTGGTACACTGTAGATATACATAATGATCACATTCATCACAGAACTGTGCTTGTACAAGACATTTGATTCTTTCTTCCTCAATCTCTTCCTCCTCCTTATTTACAAAAGCTTTGTTTCCATTTTTTTCCTTCTAGTTTCCTTAGAAAAATTTTCACTTCCTTACTTTTCCCTTCCTCTTCCCCATTTGAACATTTTCTCCCCATTCCCCAATATCTGTCATACATTTTGATCCTAATTTACCCTTTCATGGACCAGGGATATAGCTTAGTGGCACATGCCTGGCAAGCGCAAGGTCCTGAGTCCAATTCCCAGTACCACAAAAAAA